CTTAGTGCATGTAAAGAAAGGCTGAAAGGAAAGGGAGAACTTGAAAAAGCTCATTGCGTCATTGAACTCAAATCTCTGTAAAACCTGGTTTGCAGCTTTAGAAGTCAGGAGTGTTACGTCTTACGAGTGAAGGAAAAGGACTCTCTATTGTGAAGGTATGTGTAACAGCCTAAGAGCTGTTGACTTGTTTAAGTAGTGATAAGTATTTGTGCGGTTTGGATTCCACCTGGGTTGCCTACAGAGGTGCTTGAGAACCTCTTCTGTTCTAGATCTCACTGCAGTGGAGGAAAACACTGACAATGGTGGTGCTGGCTTGAAAATGCTGATTTCTGTGAGATACAAAAATAGTAGGCAGGCAGCCATGGTAGAAAGCAGAAAAACCCAAACATGCCTGTAACTTTTAATTAGAGTCATGAGCAGATTATTGAAGATGGGCAGTAAATCTGATCTTTGGTATGCTTTCCAGTACTGTAATTAACTGTTACATTAATTACTAATTGGAGATATTTTAAAACTATTTTTAAGATGGAAATGTAACTGTAGTATTAGTTCAGTTTTAAAATATTAGTGGAGATACTAAGGTGGTTTAATATAATTTATATCAAGATAAGTGTCATTCAGTTTCTTTGCATGTTGCCCAGTATCAGGCCTTTGTGAACAATGAGGGGAAGGATCTTCCCCCCCTTAATTTGCCCTCTGAAAAATCACCAATTTCTATATAGTCACGCTTCATGTTCTAGATCCTGCTTGGTCTTTCTGGGTGCATGGAAAAATCCTTTTTTAAAAAAAAAAAACAACTGGGATTTAGACCTGTTTTGGTCAGCTGAAAACATAGCTTCACCAGTCCTCTGTGCATCTGCTTGGTGTTCTGTGACACTTTAAAACTCTTACTTTCCCTTTCATTTGAAAAAAAAAAAACAAAACAACAAAACCACTTGCAGGTTATTAAGTTGACAAGGAGCTGTTTGAATAGGTTTAATGTTTAACCTGTTGGTATTTCTTTAGTCTTTAACTTTTTCTTGCTGCACTCCAATAGGTGAGCTCTTAACAGATGGCAGCTGGTTTCACTTGTGTAAAGCCACTCTGCATCTCTTTTTTTTTTTTCCTCTGTACCAGTTTAAGCTTTTAGGGCTTCTTGGCTTTGATTTGGTGATAATTTCATGGGGTGTTTTTTGTTTCTTTTTTTTTGATTTTTCTTTTCACCTTCTGTTATAAAAGGGTGTTATATACCAGCTCAGACATGAAAACCATCTTATTGAATGCAGGCAAATCAGAAGCAGAAGGACTTACAGGTAGAAAATGGTTTTATATTGTTCAATTGGTGTGTTGTTGCCCTGCTGATGACACAGAGCACCTATATCTTCCCCTTCTCCCGGTCTGCGAAATGGGACTTGTGGTCGTGATGAACTGGCTTGCCAAGTGCTGTTAGGTATTGCCCTTGTTCCTGCTAAATACAAACCTTACAAGCTCTCTGCCTCTGACTGCGAGGTGAAATGATGAGGCTTTGTCCTGCTGGTTCCTGCCAAAAGTTCAATATGAGGTCAATGCAGCTATTTCCCCAGTAAAAATGTCACTTAAAAGGCACTTCTCTAATACTATTATATGTTTAATACCTCTACGGCTTGGCAGGTCCTGTACATATATTTTCCTGTCCCTCTGGAAGATGATTGCGTTGACAAGGGGGGTTGCATTGTACGCTTTGAGAAGTGATTATTTTATTGATCTGTGCTGAAGGTAACACAGGATAAAAACTCCCTGGGGAAGAGTCTTGCACCATCTCTTGATGCTGATAGACCTCAAGAGGAGAAAAAATAATGTTTGGTAAATTGTGTGTAGCTATATTGACAGATTTCTGTGTTAGCTAGGTAATACTTGATAGTACCTTCATGAAGAGCAAAATAGCCAGTGCAATTCCTGTTTAAAATGTTGTTGCTGGATGAGGCTGGGGATAGGAAGCGGTGGGGTGATACCATCATGATCCCAGGCAAATACTGCTGCGCTTCACATGGCTTTTGGTGGCATGTGCGTAACCCAGGCTGTGGAAAACACACCTTGGGGCTAAGGTTTGGATCTTCCTGCGCTGTGCTCCAGGCCTGTTTTGGGTCATGAGATCAAAGTACGGCCTGCCATGCCTGCTTCTGGCCACCTGTTGGACCATGAGTAGCCCTTAGGCTCCTGGAACTTTTGATTTATACCACTGATGGAAATATTAACTCTTCCCGAGTTTCCCAATCCTATACTTCGATTTATGGTTTTGTAATACTGCTGTTGTTGACAGGAGCACGGACTTAATACTGTGGGAAGGCTGACAGCATGGGGAGATGTAATCAATATTGGATTTTTTCCAAGTTGGATTAATCATTTTTTTTGGACTTATGCAACCCTCTGCTGAGGCTGGAAGCCAGTGAGTTTTATGGATGGGAGCCAAGTGGGATGGTGAGCGGGGCTTAGTGCTGGCACGTCCTTCCAATGGGAGCTCCTGGGAGGGCAGCTGAGCTCTGTGGGCTGCTGTGGTTTTCCAGAAAACCTCCAGTGAAAGCGAAGGCCTAAACTAAAAAGGCAATTTAATGCCTTAAACTCTCCGGCAGGCCAGGCCTTCATGCGGGGAGGTAAGCTGTTTATTATCTAGTAGGAGTGCCTTTTCCAGCTTTATTGGAGAGTGAGTAGGATTGCTGTTTAGTTGGATTTAACTGCTATTACTTGCTGAGGAGGACATGTTTTAGGATGATCTCGAGCACCCTAGTTGAAGCAGCTTAAAAACCAAATTGATCTCTCCTGATGTCCATGATAATGGTGCAGTATAGTGACCATATCATGCTACTGGTAATAATTGCAGCAAATAATTTTCTCCCTCTTCCCCTGAAGTGTTACCTCTGTAAAATTCAACTTTATGCTTAGAAACAGTGAAGCCTCCGAGTACTTACCAGAACGTTGCATCAGCCTGTGGATGTGATGGTTGTGTGGAGATCTCAATAAATCCTCCACATTGCCATTTTCCTCATTACTTGCCCATGGGTGCCATAAGGTCTTGCTGTGCACCTTTGTGCTGTGGGCTTTGTCTTGGGAAAGAAAAAAAACAAAACCCCCCAAAAAACCCTGTGCATCTGCCCAGCCTTTTTTGTGTGTACATACTTGTGTGCACACACTGCTGCTGGTGATGAGTAAAAAATGATAAGAGTTCTCTAAGTGATGGTTGTTCATCTCCTAGGGTGTGGCAAACACTTTCTGAAGGCAAGTGTGGAGGAGGCTTCTAAGCCTTTTCTAAAACTTTTCACGTGTGGAACTTGATTGAAATAGTCAGAGTGCATTGTGGTGGTTTTCCAGCTTTACTTGGGCTTGGTGCACGCTTGCAGATGCTTCCAAGTCAAGCTGCTTGGAGAGACGAGTAGGAGAAAATTGAGGCATCTTCCAGCAAGCTCAATGTTGTATAGTAGTAATACCAATGTGAGGTGATCTGGTGGTGAGCTGGTAGCCTGCATAACATGAAAAGAAAACCCAAACCAGCAAAAGTAAACCAAGTCCTGAAAAATCTGTGTGGGAGGGTTCGAAGTAGACTGCCAGGAGATAAAGCCTGAGCGGCAGCATTCTCTGGTTTTGTTGGGCTTCTTTATGAAGGACACTGCAACAGGCTCAGATTTCACCATGGATTGGTTTGCTATGACAAAAGAACAGGTATTTTGGTTTGGCTTGGATTTGTTAACTCTGTCCTTAGAGAGTTCAAGTGACTGAGGAGCTTTCTGACCTGCCCTCTCCATACATTCTTCTGGTGCAGATAGCATTTTATAGGCTTTACTCAGCAAAACATGGGAGGGAGAAGTACTTTCCCTTTCCCCAGCAGCCTGCTGCTGTCAGGAGCTGTGTATGTGTTGGTGATGGCAGTGGGGCTTCCATTATAGGTTAGAGTGTGCTGGAGTGCAGATTTAAGTAGGTTCGGAATCAAGTACTTGTAAAAGTGCCTCAGTGCAAGTTGAGATGTTCAAGTACGTACTACTAACTGCTGTTATTTTACTCATTCTCATACAGAAAGTGTAATTTTTAAAAGCTCAACATAGTTAAGTTGGTTTGACTGTAGGATCTTCCTTCCAGATTTTGATTTTCTACCCCTGTGTGTCTGATCAATGTTGATACTAATAAACATTGGATGAATTTGCATGTCCTTTTAGGAGAAAAAATTTTCATCTTCTCTATTCGCTTTGGCTTATATGGAAATAAAATGGCAGAAAATGTTATCCTTAAATCGGAATAGAGAGTTGCAGCTTGAAGGACAGCTTGAAAGCTGTGGGTGACTATCAGACAAGACCTTGTGGTTAGAGGTGCTCTGAACCACATTAACAGTCATGGGAAGTGTGGGGATCTCAAACTATGAAATTAAACTGGTAGTATTAGAAGTTCCAGATGAGGGGGCAAGACTGCTTTGTGTCTATGAAAGAGTCAGCTTATATCCTATGCTCTGAAAGTCACCAGTGCATCCTTTGGGTCTTGTGTGAATAAATATGGGTTTTTCATCTTTGGGTCTTGATCTTATCTTCATTTGTTTAATGTATTACAGTGATAATAATGCAGTTTTGTTTTTAAATATCATCTCAAATGTGGGAGGATCCAGCTTTCAGAGCTGACTTGAAGATCTTAGGGCTGTTCGTTGGCACATACCGTTCGGAAGTGGTGCATGTGGTATCTGTGGACAATACCAGCCTCGTTGTCTCAGTTGGTTTTCCTGCCGTTTAATGCTGGTGCTGTATTGGTACCTGTGTTGGAAGAAGTCTCTTGTCTACCCTTAATGCCAGATGGCAAGGGAGAGGAGGGGAAAAGGCTTATCTCAATGCTACCAAATGCACTCTGAAGCTGAGTGGCTTTCTTGTTCCCTGTGACAACTGCCAAGACATCCTAGAAATAGGGAGATGTGATTAGCTTTCATGGGGCAGCCACACAGTAACTTCAAACTTCTCAGGAAGCATACCAGCCTGTTTTCTGTTGATGTAATGCTTTGGTTTCTCGTTTCAGCTATGAAGCCGTACGCTCCAGCTTTCATTCTCCTGTGGAGTGCCGTTGGGATGGCGAGGGCTGCCAAAATCGTCATTGTGCCGCCAATTATGTTTGAAAGCCATCTTTATATTTTCAAGACTCTGGCCTCAGCCTTGCATGACCAAGGTCACCAGACAGTGTTTCTCCTCTCTGAGGGCAGAGAGATTCCTCCATCTAATCACTATAGACTCCAGCGCTACCCAGGGATCTTTAACAGCAGCTCCTCGGATGATTTTCTTCAGTCCAAGATGAGGAGTATCTTCTCTGGGAGATTGACAGCCCTCGAACTGTTCGATATCCTGGACCACTATTCCAAGAACTGCGACTTGATCGTTGGCAACCAGAACCTCATGCGTGCCCTGAAACAGGAAAAATTTGATCTGCTCCTGGTAGATCCCAATGAGATGTGCGGATTTGTTATAGCTCACCTTCTAGGGGTTAAATATGCCGTCTTTTCCACTGGCCTCTGGTATCCAGCAGAAGTGGGTGCTCCAGCTCCCCTGTCTTACGTTCCAGAATTTAACTCGCTGCTCACAGATCGCATGAACCTATTTGAGAGGATTAAAAATACTGTTGTTTATCTTATTTCAAGATTTGGAGTCAGTTTTTTGGTTCTGCCAAAATATGAAAGGATAATGCAGAAACACAAGGTTCTGCCAGAAAGGTCCATGTATGACTTGGTGCATGGATCCAGCCTCTGGATGCTTTGTACTGATGTAGCACTGGAGTTTCCGAGACCTACGTTACCCAACGTTGTTTATGTGGGAGGAATCCTGACCAAACCGGCCGGCCCTCTGCCAGAAGTAAGGTTTGCTGAGCTTTACAGTAATTTCTACGGTCTCTGGTTGACATCATATGATGAGTGGTGGTTCTTAAGCAATGGATTTCAAATGGGATCTATGGTGTTCTGTTTTCGATGGGTGAAATAGACCCTTGAAGTCACGGGAAGTAGCTTGGTGTGGTGGGAAGGGAACTATGAGATGCAAACACATCAAAGTGAGGCTTTTGTGGTTGCAGAAAGTATCTTTCGAGTAAGGTGCTTTATGGTTCAGTAGAGGTAAAAACAGCACATGCCGTCTTCGAAGTTGTCTGTAGCTTCGAACCAAGTGTGGGTTGAAGTTGGAAGAAGGGAGAAGGAGTTAATACTGCTTATGCTTAAAGATAACAGTGATAGGTTATACTATGTAATTTTATGGTATTAGTGTTTTTATGGGGATGTTGCTTCCCTTGGTTTGGTAGGTAAAAATATCTTTAAAACTAAGTGTATATAAGGATGAACAAGCTCCATATAGGCCAAGAAGTGGAGATAATGGGAACTGACATAAATGGCACCATTACTGTACTCGGACATGAATTTTTACTGTACGCTTACTGGCCATCAGGTACTGAAATTCAGACTGAAATAGTGAGTGACTGGATTCATTCCAGAAATCCTGGCTGGGCAGAAAAATAATCAAGTTGGATTACTTCAGTGTTCCATGTCACCTGTGATAGCTGGTATCCGAGACAGCTTCTGTTCAGCAACACAGTGGAGTGACAGGCAGCAAAAAACTTCACAGAAAATCATGCCATTTACACTTGTATTTATAAATATGTAAACAATTAGATCTTGAATTGGAGATGATTATCAACAGAAGTTTCTGCCTGGATGATAAATAAGTACGCAGACCTGCAGTGCTCAACAGGTTGTTTCTGAAAATGCCATGTTCAGCCTTGGTTTTTTGCATGGAAACTGCCAGGCCCACTTTTCATCTATGTTAGCCTGCAAATTAGTTGTGGAAGCCTGAGTTTGTCGTTTGTTTATGGGATGTTTTTTTTTCTTGTGTTTTTTTCTTTTCTTTATTTCTTTGCACTGTTGGTTGTGTCTTGACTTAACAGCACCTTTTTTCACCAACTCTAGAAACATCAGACAATTGTCAGATTAGGGCTGCAGGATGTGGCCAGCTGTGCCAATTCCCTCAGCTGTTTTTTGTTCTTTCCCCTGCTCAACTATAAATGCATCTGAGCATAAATGCAGGCTCTTGCATGGCATTCCAAACATGCTAGTAGTTATATCCAAACAAATACTATTGTCTCTTCTCCAAGGCTTCATCAGAGATAACTGTAACAGAGATGCTTCAAACGGGTTCTTCCCGCGTGTACATAAATGTATTTGTGTTTAGAGAGCATCAAGCTGCCCAGATACCCTGAGAAAGCAGCCTAAAGGTAGCTCTGTGCTGTCTAAAGAAGTTCAGCCCTATTCTCTCCAGGAAAACCTTGCTGGCTGGGTTGTTTCAGCTCTTTGTTTTCCAAACTGACATTTTCTTGTTCTGTGAGAAGAAAAATGTCTTTGTTGCATGATGAATTTGGGCACTGCGTCAACACTGTCTATTTTTTGTGTCTGTAGATTGGTCCTTAGGGTAAAAAATTAACTGTCCCCAAAGCAGATACTTTCTTTGCTGTAAAACGGAGTGCAAGACAATGAAAGGAGTAGTTTTCTTTACATATTTTGCTATAGGGATGTGTATGTGTATAGATAAAGAGATCTACATTTGTACACAAATATATGAATCTATATTTGGAGCCTTTTGAGAAGATTGTTCTGTGTACTTGCTAAATTTACTCTGGAACCATAGATGCTAACCAGTTAACAATATCTAACGATGCAAGAAGGTAGAACAGTAAGTCAAAGGTTCAATATAACCAGACTGTCAGTGATGCTGAAATACACCTATAGGTAGAATAGTTGTGGGCCAATACTTAATACAGCGGGAGGATAAAAACCCCTGTAGTTATTTGTGAACTGAGACATTATTTACTTTCTCTCCAGTTGTATCGGGCAATTCATTCCAAGAACGTTCTAAGTGTGGGATTTGATCTAATGTGAGACACAAAGTGAGTGCTTTCATCTTTTATCATGTAATTTGTCTGTGCCTAAACTGTTAATGCATAATCCACACTGGGATGTGTTGTAGGTAAATTATTGGGCAATCAGTTTGATTTTACTGAGCAGTTAGATAAAATTTGTAACTGTTGCTTTATTGTGTCAGATAAAAATTGGAGAGCTAGTGCTGCAGCTGTGTTTAGCTACTGCTGCATCTCTAAGGCAGGAGCCTTGGCTAATTTATTTTCTGCAGCTTTTAGGCTGCTGCATTAAGGTAAGACAGAAGCAGAGCTGGTTCACATTTCTGTGCCGGGCTGGAAATGGTGATGCTTCAGGAGCTGTCTCAAACAAGAGCAGTGTTGCTGCCCAGAGATGATGATGAGAAGAGGGGTATGTGGCTGGACATAACAGCTTTAGCAGCTTAAAGATACTATTACAGGCCATTCAGGTCTCTTCTTCAAAACTGCTTATAAGTAGCCTAGTCCACTTGATCTGGTAGAAAAGTGCTAGGAAAAATCTTTGGGTTTTTTCCAAGTCCAAAATACCTGCTCAACACAAAATACCTAAATTAAACTTTTTTAAAACAAAACTTAACCACCAAAACAAACAAGGGATGCTCTGAAAACAGGGACTGCAGTGAGAAGGCAGCAAGTCTATCCTGGGAGGGCCAGCCACAGCAGGAGCTGGATTTCAGCCTTGGCTGGGCTGTAGCCCTGGCATGTTTGGTGGTCCCCAGGCACCTCAGCCCCTGCACTGCTGTCTTCTTGGGATAAACGGTTAATTTTTAGGAGGAGAGAGGAGGGTGAAAAGGGAAAAATTTGTTTAACCAACTCAGAAATCCTCTGCATAGCTGAAAAACCTCTAGTGTTCTGCCAATAAGTAGTGTCTTAAAGGTGGAGAGTAATAATTAAACAAAGAGGAGACGCAAGTTCAAGGCCTTTTTAGGTGTTAAGGGGTGGCTGTTGTTTAATTGTAGGGGCTATGGCAGCTCTGTTTAGTGGTTGTTCAGAGTCTGCTCCTTTTACTTAAACTTTCTTTAAAGAAAAGTTAGAAAAACACAGCTTTAAAGGTAGCACGTAGGAAGGGGTGCTGAATATGTCATTTAACAAACCTGACTCTTCTGCACTGTCCCTGTCCCATCTTTGTTGGTGTTCTGGTTCATGGGCAATCAGAGGGCTTTATAAATCCACCCATCATCCCCACTTAACTGCGTGCGGGTTCCCTTTGTGGAGTATTATTGGTGCAAGTATACGAGGCTTGTTTTGGAGGCTGTTAAGCTGGAAGCTTTATTGTCCCTGCACACCAAATGCTTACTGGTGCCTGATGGGAGACATCGAGTCTGTAGCAGGGTTTGGCCTTTTGGAGGGCTTTGAGTGACACGCTGTGTGGCAGGACGCTCCGGTTGGGGACCACAACAGTCGTAGCCGGTCAGGCTGCTGGAGCATGCGGAGTGTCTGCGCAGAGCCTGTGCCGTGCTGGCACTATGCTCGGGTCCCTGCAGGGACCGTATGTTCGCTGTGCGTCACCTGGGAAGGGAACTGGCCTTACTGGGGTGTGTCCTTAGTGCCAGAAACCTGCAGTGGCTGAACAAGTGGTTAGCTTGTGTGGCAGGCGTGGATTTCAGCTGAGCTCTGCAGCAGTTACCACTGCAGCACGCTGCCAGTGTGCCTTGGGCTTGCAGCCTGCCCAGATGCCTCCAGTCCTCCTTTTTGCTCTCCCCGTAACGCAGCGCCCTGATGTCCGTCTGTGCTTGGCGCAGTGTCCCTCCACGCGCTGGCAGCGATAGGTGTGCTGAGGAATGGGAGCCAAGAGCCGGCAAGGAGAGGAGTAGAGTGGGTCCTTTGGAGGTCACCTCTCCGCCTGGCTCCCTGCAGCGCCTTGCGGCATGGGCAGCTAGGAGACCTCCTTGGTGTAGCAGGGTTAGTCTTGTCCTTTACAGATCAGCAGCACCTCAGTCAGTGACTGAAATTGCCGATGATGGCACATTTCCTCCTGTGCTCTTCTGATCGGTGCTGCAGGTGGATGGGGCTGAGGGGAACTCGAGTCACTGTGTTTCGTCGGGGTGGAAGGTCTGATGGTGGCTTTGCCAAGCTCAGTGTAGGCGATAGGCACCATGCAGTTGGGAGTTGTCTTCTCTGGGAGCTAGCGTGCTTTTTGCTGGTTAAAGTGTGTGTATTTAGAAGGTGCTTCCTGCATAAATAGTGTGCTCTGTAAAAGATGAGGAGATGGTTCATGCGGCTGCACCCTGAACCTGTAAGTGAATAAAATCTTACCTGCGGATGAGAAAGAGCACAGGGTTTGTGTAGTTAACTCCAAAAAGCGTCCTTTGAATTGCAGAGAGGACTGTGTGAGCAGAATCGACCTTAAAAGATGCATAGTTGAAGACACACTGAATATCAACTCGTGAAGGTCGTGGCTGACTTAAACTATGAAGTGTGTGGTGTTACCTGGTAGTATTTCTCAGAGAGCTGGCAGTGGCCATTAGGAGAGTAAAAGACTCCTCTGCCTCTTGCTTATTGCAGTTCTCCAGAGCCATCTTGTGCAGCCCAACAAAGCTGGCTTTTCCAAGTAACAAGCCTTTTAAGAAACAATGGGGAAACCTCTGCCATGTGACTCGGTTGATAGGTAGTTAGGCATTAATCAGCCTGATAAGATATGTCCTTGAATCAGGGTAGAAACAGGATGGGTGCTGCAAGCCTTGGGAAACACCCTGTCCTAGTTGAGGAGCAGATGGGGCTCTGGAGATGAGCAGGTGTCTTCCCTGCAAGAAAAGCTGCTAAACAGTGTGTCAAAAGGACTCTTTTCCATCAACCAGGTGATGATGGAGGTGCATTTGGATGTAGGTTGGATCCTGTGGTTTGGATGTAGTTGTACTTGACATCATCTGTGTCAGTGTTGACCAAAAAATAAAAAAAAAAAATCTCAAACCAAAATGCTATA